CCATAAGATAGACACGGTCGACACCATTGTCATGGCTTAGACAGGTCTAACGAGATCCCATACCTGCATGGGTGCTACCCTAGATTTCTATATAACTCCACCGCGGCTTCTCAGGGGGTTTGAAAACACATTAATCTCGGGAGGATACAAAATCGTCCCATCTCATAATCTCGGATGATACCAAATCATCCCATCATATAATCTCGGACGATACCAAATCATCCCAACATAATAGTGCTGATGATACCAAATCATCGATAATATGGGCTCGAACACGGCCAAACATACAATAACATGGGCTCGAATGTGGCAAAAAATCAAAGGGCTTAACGTGGAGGATCATAGCAACCACGCCAACTAGACCATGGAAGATCACATAGCATCCGTGTCTTCTCCTAATATTCCGCTATCAACACCGGCCTTCTAGTAGAAATTATATTTCAATCTAATGGGGTGTGAGATCAAGTCTGCCCATATCAGACATGTGGCTTTACGAAATATCTCACTAGGCGAGATGGCCTACGAACCGGTCCTTATGTGACCAAGGCGAGTATCTAAAACAGGAACCATCTCTAGGCGATCCTGCCAAGGTAATTTATCTCACATAAATTACCCCCACTCGCCACCTATCGGGTTTTAGTTTAGGTTTACTATTTTTAAGTTCACAATTATTATCCTCATGTTCATAAAGCTCATTTCATATCAAGGTAACCATTACCTTATCATCATTAATCACATTATCATATCCGAGCTCATGACCCATTATAATTCTATTAATTCATAAAAGAGAATTAAGTAATATAAATTAAGTTTATTAATTGGTGGAGATAGAGGGTGGAGGGTTTATGGTGGAGGCTAGCAAGATGTGGTGGTGGTGGAAGGGAGTAATTAAGGGGTGGTAAGTAAAGTGGAGGGAAAGGGATAGGTGGGTGTTAGGACTTGCCTCCATTCGCTGACGATTATATGCTCATCCGATTTATGTCTCCTGCTCCTGTCTTCTGGACTCCATTGGGTTCTCTGCATCTTTTATCCTACGTGGTTTAGCGTCGACAGGCAAGAAAACACAAACAAAGAAAAATAACAAGCAAGGCATGTAAAACAAGCATAGACAACTAAGGGGAAGGAAACGATCCTAGATGGGTTGATCCTATTGGGTGATGGGTCGTTATCTAAGGTTATCATTATTATGTAAATTTGAAGTAAGGGTTGGATAGAGAAATTCCATCCAACAAGATGTGGCTCCTACGGTTAGGTTAAGGTAGGTGGTGGGTCTGATGAAAAATCAGACCACATTATTAGGGTTCACTATTACGTGAACCTAAAAGAGAAAGTCTACATGTCCACACACATGCATATGTATGTGCCCTAGGTTAGTCAGGTTAGAGAAAAGGCGTAGGCGTATACCCGGGTATTATAGATGTTCTATTATTTTAGGTGATTGGGTATGGATATATTCGAGTATGTGTCATGGTGCATACACATACGCGAATATATAGGGTTAACTACTATTACTGCGACGGGTTACTACTATAATTGGTATTTAAAATTAATTATAGAAAAAGAAAAACAATCAAACTAGAATTTAAATGGGCACCAAATAATAGGACAAATGGTATGAGTAAATAGAGCTTGAATTTAGAATATTTTTGGTGGATGAAGCAAGGGATTTGGAGTTAGGATGGAGAAGATATGATTTATCAAAGTTTTAAGAGGAAAAAGATTATGTGGAAAATAACTTGGGAATTATTTCTAGAAATTAGAGTAATGGAAATGATATGGAAATGCTTGGGTAGGATCTGGGGTGTAACTAGTTTATTTAGGAATTTTCTGGGAATTTTTTGAGGCAAGGAAAATGGATTTTACTCTCCTGTGTACACTCCTCGGGAGCACCCAGCGTTTTCTCCTCGGCTGAGTGGCTGACGCGTGGGCCAGCGTGGGCGGGGTCAGCTGCTGCCTGCTGGCACTGTGCTGCGCTCCGGGTCTACACTGTGCTGTGAACTGCTCTCCCTCTCTCACTGGTTCAGGTGGACCGTGTCCACCCAAGAGAAAGAGAGGGGAGGAGGGAGACAGTGCGGCTGCCATGTGGGCTATCCCTGGCTCCACCCATCTTAACGGGTGTGGAACGCCGTTGTTGCTCCGGGCCCACCGACAGAGAGACGGGGAAGAACGGGGACGGAACGGCGGCGTCACCACGGCGGCGGAACAGGGGAAGGGCTCGGTGCTCGCCGGAGTGAGTTACACCGGCGGCGTCCGAGGCTGAGGCTTGATCTAGCGATGCCGAAGGCGCTCCCGAATCCAGTACGCAACACCTGGAGTAATCGGCGGTGGCTGCGGGCGCTCGAAATGGCCGCGGCAGCTTGCCGGAGCAAGTGCGACGGCGCGGAGGCATGTCGGTCTCCAAGCGAGTGGTCTGGGAGCAATAAGACATGTGCGGCGCGACTACGGCGTGAGTGAGGACCTGCAGAGGTCCGGACATGGCCTTGTCGTGCCTTGTCGACGTCGGACCGCGGTCACGACGACGGCTCATCGGCGGGCTGGCCATGGTGGCAGGGTGATGCAGGGGGAAAAGAGCGGGTAGAAGTGGTGGAGCGGATGCAGGAGTGGTCAAGGAGCTTGTTGGCTAGCATAATTGGACTATGGTGGGCTGGTGATGGATAGAGCGGAGCTCGGCTCCTATGGCGACCATGGTGGCCGGATTTAGGGAAAACGAGCTAGTGCTCAGAAGAGGAGGGGAGAAGAGCAGAAAAGGGGGAGATGGTATGTTCCTGAACCAGGCTAAGCTCGTGGCGCTGATATTTGATGCCGAGGCACTTGGGGAGGGCCTATTTATAGGCCGCCAATGGCGGTTGGCGCCGGCGAGATATTTCTCGCCGCGCGCCTCGGTTGCGCAGGCGCTAAATCTCCTCTTTCCCGCGCACATGTTCGAATTACTAAGGCGGTGGCACACAGTAGGTCGGTCTCCCAAGAAATATCCCCGGCGTCCATGTCCCACATGCTCGTACCGCAGCGATTCCATGGCCGGCGTGCGTACGTGTCGACGGGTTTCATGGAGAAGATAAGGGCAACGCGGAAGGCGACACGGGAGTAAGGCGGTTCGCTGGCGGAGCTCTCATCCTTATCCACTCTGCCGAGGCGAGGGAGTGGCAGCGACTCGAGGCGGCGTATGTCGACGCGGTATTCGCGTCGTCGTCTCCCGGAGGAAGACGATGCTGACAAAGCGGGGCCGCGGAGTCAGTGGGATAGAGAGGAGGGGAGCGGCGCACCGGAGCTGGGCCGAGTCAGCGGGCGCGGCTCAGCTGGAGTTGGCCCATTGCGGGGGAGGCGTGGGCCGCAGCACGAGCCAGAGAGGAAGGAGAGGAGAGGAATGAGCCCATGTTCCATTCCCCATTTAAAATTCATTTTTAATTTTCAGAAAATAAACTAAGTACATTTGAATGGTTTTGAATTTGAATCTCAAGGAGGTTTGAAATGTGAGGACTTGGTAAATCAAGATAAATCAAGGAATTTTTTGGGTGGAGAAGATCAAGGAGAAATTGCCAAGGAGAATTATTTAGTGCCAAATAAATTCTAGGGCAAACATACAAGCATTCGAGCAAGCATTTCATCACTCCAAACATTCTACCCTAAATGCATATAGTGGATTTGATGCAGGGTTTTGGAAAACATTTTCTTTTAAAATGGTTTTGCAGAGAATAAATAGTCAAGGTTTTAATTTGTTGTAAAGTTTTAAAAAGTTCAAATTTTTAGTGGTTTTTATTATGATGCAAAAACACGGGTGTTACAATATGTGTGAAAACATATGCAACATCCAGATGAAACACTTGCAAACTTACATCTGGAAAACGAGATGAAACATTTGGAACATAAAAATGAAACATAAGTGTATAGCCACTACAACATGTGCAACATTCCGATCTACTTTTGCAACATCAAGATGAAACACTTGCAATATCCAGATAAAATATCTGAAACACTTGAAACATACTCTTGCAACATGGGCTTTGCTTGGACGAATGGAGGCACGCTAGCACGGAGGTCGACGGCGACGCATAGACCTCGTTGTGCGGCAGCGGCACGGGCAACTCGCTGGCGGGCGTGGCGTCACACGAATCTCGTCCCCCTCACCTGCTTGCTGGAGCATCTGTCGTGGAGGCTCACCAGCTCAGTGGAGGCGGCTGCGGCGAGCGAGCCGGCCATGGCAAGGAGGCAGCGCGGTGGAGGCGGGTGAGGCAGTCTGGGCCCAGTGGGGAATGCGACACAAAGGAGGCAGCGCGGAGGAGGCCACAGGGGATGGGGCGTGGCGCTACATGGGACCGGCAGCGGCGAGGCGGAGTGGGGTGGGCGGATGGGCACAGCGACACAGGGAGGAAACGGCGCAGCGAGCATCTGGGCGAGCGGGAGTAGACGGAGGGAGGCGTTCGTCCGGACATCTTAACTGTATCGTTATCTCAAATCAAATCCGAGCTGCACCCAGCGCCAACAGCATCACACAAGTATATCAATGTCTGTTTCGATGCCAAGGACGGTGTATCGAGCACGTGTTGTCACCCTCGAAGTGAACAACAGCACCTGCAGAAACGTCATCGCGTCCAATACGTGTTTGACTGTTTGTGTCTGTATCCGCACGGACTACATGTACCAAGGCACCTTGCAAATACAGTACAACAGAAATGATAAGCAACACTCGTTTTTTCCATTCTGCCATGCCATTCACCTTGGACTGACAAATAGGAGTTCATTGATCTACTATATATCATCAGATTCAGTTAACCAACCGCTAACAATGTAATATCTGGAGATGTTGAGAATTACGTACATAAACATAAACAGAGAAAAAAAAAGGGGATGATTGAGAAGAACTCAAAATATATCTCAACACACAACACCCTAAAACGGGGGGCAATCAGCCTTCAAAACACTCATGCTGCAATTGGAATCCAATGGGTGGGTTCCACCATTACATCTGCGCCCATCATGCACCTCCCAAACCATCTGCCATCCTATTGTTGAGCTTCGTCATCAAACTTGTTCATGTGGTCCAACGGATAGTTGGCCGCTAAATGCTCATCCTTGTCGCAAGCAAAGAAAACCTCCAGAACTAGATCTAGGTCGAAGCCCATTTGTTCAAGCTGCAATGACAGAAAATACAACGTTGAGTGCGCAGCCAGCAATAAAGCAACATGGAGACTGCATATTCGTCATGTCCCCTTTGCACTGTAAGCTGATGCACACATATGGGCAACACGCACACCGAGTTGAGTCAGTTTGCTTACACGTTGTATAACTTCATTCTCCTCAAGGTGTCACTGCTATTGTCCGATGCATTCCAGAACCACCGAACTGATCTAGCAAGCTCCTGGTTCAAGATACCAAGAACATCTAGCACACAACACAAATATCACTAGAAAAATACTGCCATGTAGAGATGCTAATTCCATAGCCTACAGCTCCATCAGCAGGATCATCATTGATTAAACGCAGGAACTCAGCTAGGTTTTCCTGGATCAGCTGCATGATCTGTGGATTTTGTTTCCCCAGTTCTTGAAGCAAAGGCTACAGATCAAGGATATCTGTTTAACGAAACCAACATAATATTTACAAGTTGGACGGTTTTTGTAACAACCTATAAGTAACCTTTAATATTAATTCAATACTATTAACGTTTGCATAAATATTAAAGTAATTTTGGTACTTTTCTAATTTAGTTTAAACCTAATATATTTGCTTTTGCAAATTATTTTAATACTTTAATATTTTTATGTAAATTATTTTATATAATTTATAATTTCATGAAAATATTATATAAATTGATATATTTAATTATAAATATTTTTTGATAACTATATTATTTTCAGGAGCTATTCTTGCCTATGTTATACCTACCTACTTTATTCTCTACTTGATTTTATAATTACAAAAAAAATTGACAAAGCAAAATGCTACTTGTTGCCTACCATTCTTATTTAAATTTCTTCACTTAACCTACAATTGTTACCGTCGTATTCGTAATTTTGTTTTGGGTTCTCTATCAATGTTACAGTCAAGCCTCTATCATTGTTACCGTCATCATATTTATAATTTAAGTTTTGGGTCCTCTATCGATGTTACCGTCAAGCCTCTGTCGATGTTCCCAGCCTTTAATCCCTCCATACTCATTACTCAACCACTACCTTCCAGTACCAGCGACGCCGAGCTAGGTGTGCTCACCCTCAGCAAATTCCCCTCCTTCGTGAGGGCGTCCGCGGTGGCGGCATGCCTTCGCTCAGGCGCATCGACGTCATCCCTCCGCGTAGGCTTCCCCCTGCAAGACACATAGATGACGTGCATCCTCCACAATTGGTGACCTTCACCACCGATCTCCACTCTCAGAGCCCTGTGAGACTATGGTCCATTAGCACTAAAAATTAGCAACTAAAACTAATACTAATGAATCCAAACAGACTTACTAATAAACCTACTAATTATTAGCTGAAGGGTTGCTAACTATTAGTTCCATTAGCAGGTTTAGAGTTGCTAATAGGTGCTAATAGTTCATATACACATTCAACTCAATATCTTGCAGGTGGATCCAAATAGTTATGCTAAAAATTAGCTAGCTAAACTTTAGCTATTAGCTAGCTAATTTTTAGTGCTAATGGATCTAAATAAAAATCAACTAATCTGATTTTATGTAGATACTAGTAGTATACCCGTGCTAACGATATGGTAAAAGCAAGACAGTATTTTACTACGCACATAATTATTTGTATAACGGGTGCATTCACATCATTGCACATTATCATCTGCATTGTTATTTTCCTTGTCGCTATGCTTTATGCTTGCAAAACTGCCAAAAACCCTAACCCAATGCTCTTGTTAAGGCTAGGGACACATTGAGTAACTTTTTCAGATACGCATGAATCTACACTACATATTGTAGGTACGCTTTTTATTGTCCTACAAAATAATAGGGCCACCCTCACCGAGCTTGTCCTTGTCCGCGACGAGCCACGACCAGCACCATGACCCGCTACCAATCCTCCGCCAACATGGCCACAAAGGGAGGCTGTGGCCGCAATAACAGCAACCCTCGCGGTCGTGGTGCTGGTCGTGGCTCTGGTCACGGACAGAGAGGAGGTCGTGGCGGCGGGCACTCTCACAGTGGGGCACCCTCGGGTATCGTCTGCCAGTTGTGTTGCAAAGATGGACACACGATCCTTCGGTGCTACAAAAGATTCGATGCTTCCTTCACCTGGCCTCCGCAGAAGACTATTTCCTTTGCAACAACCTCCTATGGCGTCAACACCAACTGGTACATGGACTTCGGCACCACCGACGACATCACCAGCGAGCTAGAGAAGCTGAGGGTGCGTGAAAAGTACCATGGCGGTGAACAGGTTCATGCGCCAAATGGTTCAGGTATGCAGATTAACCATGTTGGTCGTAGAATTTTGCGATCCCCTACTAGTAATATCCAACTCAAAAACATTCTTCATGTTCCAAAAGCCAGCAAGAATCTTGTTTCTGTAAATTGCCTCACACGTGATAACAATGTGTTTCTTGAGTTTCACCGCAATCATTGTTCTATTAAGAAGTAGGAGACGAGGAGAACACTCCTCAAAGGCAGATGTAAAAGAGGTCTCTACCCCTCAAAGTCATCCCTAAATAAGTGTTCGGCATTGTCAAGCCGTTTGCATCCTTGTGGCATCATAGACTAGGGCATGCTTCCACTCCTATAGTCCAGCAAGTTCTTAGTCGCCACAAGCTCCCTTTTGTTAAATGTTTGAGCAATAATAGTGTGTGATGCATGTCAAAAGGGCGAGAGTCATCAATTGCCCTATCCTCGGTCCACTAGTGTGTCCGCTAGTCCTATGGACCTTATTTTCTCAGATGTATGGGGTCACCTCAGTTGGACGTCATAATTATTATGTTAGTTTCATCGTTGATAATAGCAAGTTCACTTGGATCTATCTATTGCTTCATAACTCTGAAGTTTTTCAATGTTTTCATGATTTTCATAATCTTGTGGAAAATCAATTCAATCGCAAGATTTTAGCCATACAGGCCGATTGGGGAGGGGGTATCAGGCCCTGAAGTCCTTCAAACGCAAAGGTATCGCCCATCACGTTTCCTATCCTCATGCACATCTACAGAACGGCTTTGCCAAGCGCAAACACCATCACATTGTTGAGATAGGGCTCTCCCTTCTTGTTCGTGCGTCTATGCCACTTAAGTTTTGGGATGAAGCTTTCATTACTGCTGATTTTCTCATCAATCGCCTACCTTCTAAAGTCATTGATAATCATACACCCCTTGCTCGTCTTCTTGGCCAACAACCTGACTATATGTTCCTTCACATGTTTGGCTACGCCTGTTGACCAAATCTACGCCCATATAATTCCAGAAAACTCCAATTCCGCTCCAAACAATGTGTTTTTGTGGGTTACAGTAACTTGCACAAGGGGTTCAAATGTCTAGACCCTGCAAAGGGGCGCATTTACATATCTAGGGACTAGGGATGTAGTGTTCGACGAGCATGTGCTCCCTTTTGCCTCGCTTTGTCCCAATGCTAGCGCTCGGTTGCGAGCCGAGCTCGCCCTTCTACCCGATATTCTCCTAAATCCATCTTCTAGTTATGGGGATGCAACTTTGCGTGATCGGCATTCGGTTTCTCCTGTGCCTACTAATGTTGTGCTAAGGTCTATTGGAGATATGTTGAATACAGGTGAAAACACAGTATTGTTTGGTGGAAAATCGGCGTCAAACGGACCATATTTCATGTGTTCCCCGGCTGGAGGGAGCATGGGAATCAGGGCTGACGCAACCGCTGAATCCACCGCCATATCACCCTTGGGGTCTACAGGGCGGCGGTCCCAACGGGCAGATCATCTGTGGCTACGTCTTCATCACCCCCTTCTATAGGTGTGCGTGTGGCCACACAGCCTAATCTGAGTGAGGGGGTAGCTGACGAGTCTGTTAATCAAGGCAGATCTGTCCCTCGGATTGGCTTGGGCTGCTGCTAGATCCGATGCAGACGATACTGCTGCGATCTCTCCTGCTGCTCCAGCGGGTCATCGCCCAACTACTTGGCTCCAACGACGTATCGGTAAACCTAAAACCTACTCTGATGGTACGGTGACATGGTGTATGCTTGCTACTTCTTCGGCAGAGGAGCCTACAACCATTGACGAGGCACTTGGAGATCAGAAATGGGTTACGACGATGGATAGTGAACATCAAGCGCTGATTCACAACAAAACTTGGCATCTTGTACCTCCCTCTAGAGGCAAAAATGTTATAGGTTGCAAGTGGGTGTATAAGGTGAAACAGAAGGTTGATGGCTCAATTGACAGTTACAAGGCACGGTTGGTGGCCAAGGGGTATAAACAGCGGTATGGCATAGACTACAAGGACACATTCAGTCCTGTGGTCAAGGCAGCGACAATTTGCCTCATCTTGTCCATTGCAGTCTCAAAAGGTTGGTCCCTTCGGCAGCTAGATGTCTAGAATGCTTTTCTCCATGGTGTGTTAGAAGAAGAGGTATACATGCATCAACCTCTAGCAGAGAAATTGCATCCCGATTATGTGTGCAAGCTGGATAAGGCGATCTATGGTTTGAAACAAGCTCCACATGCGTGGTATGCACGGTTGTGTGGGAAATTGGAGATTCTAGGCTTTATACCTTCTAAAGCTGATACTTCTCTGTTCTATTATAACGAAGGGAAACATACCTTGTTTGTTTTGGTTTATGTTAATGACATTATTGTAGCTAGCTCTTCTCAGGAGATGATGGATGCTTTGCTCATTGACTTGCAATGTGAATTTGCATTGAAGGACACAGGAGATCTTCACTATTTTCTGGGCATAGAAGTCAAGAGGACATGGGACAGTCTAGTACTCACCCAAGAGAGATATGCTGCATATATCATCTCACGGTCCGAAATGGACAACTGCAAGTCTATAGACACACCTTTGTCAGGCACCGAGAAGCTTAGTATTGTTGAAGATGAAAGGCTTGGTCCCGAGGATTCTACAAGATACAGGATTTTGGTTGGTGCGTTGTAGTACCTTACACTTACACGGCCCGACATTTCTTTAAACATGAATAAAGTGTGTCAGTTTCTACATGCCCCTACTACAGTTCATTGGAGCGCTGTGAAATGGATCCCGAGGTACATTCGTGGGACAATTAATCTTGGGCTTAGAATTGGAAGGTCAAAGTCTATGATGGTTAGTGCATTCTCAGATGCGGATTGGGTGGGTTGTGTAGATGATCGGAGATCCACTGGTGGTTTTGTTGTGTTTCTTGGAGATAACTTTTGATTTTGTGGAGTGCCAAGAAACAAGCAATTGTCTCTTCATCAAGCACATAGGCTAAGTATAAGGCACTAGCCAATGCAACTATTGAAATGATGTGGGTTCAGAAGTTGTTGACAGAACTTGGGATTCACCATCCTCCTATAGCTCGGCTATGGTGTGACAATGGATATACAGGGAGATCAGATTGCTGATGGTTTTACTAAGCCTCTTGCAGTTGTCAAGATGCGGTAGATTAGAACCAATCTCAACCTCATAAGTGGTTGAGATTGAGAGGGGGTGTTAGACAATGTTGAGTCTATCGGCTTAGGTTGTTAGAGTCTTGACTCGTAAGTCAAGTAGTTTGTTGGTTATTATCTCTGGTAACTCGTGATTGTTGTACAAGCCACGCTAGGGGCTGTTCCTAGCTATATTAACACAAAGCCGAGCCCTCCAAGGAGGCAACTCGTTCCACCCATTTTCACATAATGAACATGCCCGTAAGAAATAGATAACTAGAATGAAAAAATTAAGAGGAACATGAAAAAAATGTAAGATTTGAGGGTTAGCCTGCACCAAGGAAAGCAAACCTCTGAATTGTGTATTGTTTCGTAGAACATCAAGATTTCCACCACCTGCATTTAAAGAAGCATTTGAAAGGGCATGTGGATAGAATTGGACATAAGTTTGAAACAATGAGAGGATGAGGAAGGGAGGGAGAGAACCTGAGGAAACGGGTCCAGGGTATTAGCATTAGGTACAGATGATGGAATTGCAGGTTGTGCTGATTGTGGAGCCTGAACTGGATCAACTAGTTGGCCGCTTGCAGGAGGGGCTGCAAGAGCAGCAGGGAACTCTACCTGCTCAGAAACCCTCTATGTCACAGAGGCATTGACTTTAGTGGCTAACAGTTGAAATAAAACAAGCTAAAATTGTGCCAGATCAAGATCTATAGCATAGCAAAGAACAATTTTTAGAAATCAGAAAGCATGCAGTCAACTGCTACAGATACTGCTTTCCATAATTACAAAGAATGGCAAACAATGAAACTACAGACACTGATTGAAGTTACTTGTAGGAACTTTGTATTCATTAGGTTTAGTCAGTGTCCTTTTGTGCTTTGGGCAAAAGAAAGAAAAGTTGACATGATGGTGTGCTCACAAATGCTAAGAGGATAGTCACTATAATCACATACACATCATATTTTGAAAGATGATTAGGAAAATTATGAGTTATAAAATGGACCAGTACTAAGCACAAATTAACACCTTCTTTCAGTAGAACTCAAGCGCTAATTCTCCATCCATTTGACTGGTCCAGTGGTCCCAACAAACTTTAGGATGCATTTGGTCGGGATTTGGTTTCTCAAAGAAATGTTTCTATAGAGAAACTGGTTTTTCTGCTTTCTGATTCTTAGGTGAATCCCAAAAACATTAGTGGTGACTCTAAATCCAAAAATCATTGGCAGGAATTCTTGTTTCTCTCCAGAACAATTTTTGTTTAGTAGGGATTCTACTGTTTCTCGAGAGAAACAGTTTGGATAATCCCACCAGGAACTACATTAACAAAGTAAAAAAAACTGCCGAAAAAGGTGAAACAGTCCTTACAGAATATAAATATTCAACAGCCCGCTCCAGGTTGTTGTATGCAGCTTGTAGAGCCCGCACAACGGTGTCCTGATCCCATGCTCCTCCACCCATTTCAAGAATTGATTGAACCGTTGCTTCTAGATTGCCACTAGCAACAAGGTTTGACACAGCTTGACCATAAGGATTCGCTTCAATGTTGTTGCTAAAATCAAACCAAGTACTATTGAATGCCATTTCATATTTTCATGTCTTGCCAATCAACAAATAAGAGTGGGAGGTCAACTGGAAAAATTCATGTCTTACCAATCAACAAATAAAAGTGGGAATTCAACCCTTATAAAAAAAAGTGGGAATTCAACAGGGAGAACTGATCAGAATTCAAAAATTTAACAGGGAGAACTTACATTGAAGCAGCAGTAGAGGCCGGATCAGATGTTGCAGTTGGGTCAGGTGCACTAACAGGCGCACTGTATGAAGAAGCTGATACAGTAACTAGTAGCATAACATGAAGGTGAGAATTCAACAGGGAAAACTGATCAGAATTCTCAATATGTAAAACTTACATTGCAACACAGTAGGAGTCGGACCAGATGTTGCAGTTGGGTCAGGTGCACTATCAGGCGCACTGTTTGAAGAAACATCAAAATGATACTGTCAACTAGTAGCAAAACATCTATCAACAGCAACTACCAGCAAACAATTGAATTTGTTCCTGCCATTCATTCAAACCTTATTCATTGTTCTGCAATCTAAAAATTGATTAATTCTCTTTTATGACTCTTCCAGTAGTAGTTATTTGTCTTTTGCCAATGGCATCAAGTCAAAAGTAGATCATTAAAAAAATATCATGTATTGTATTCAACTGACAGCAATGACAAAAAAAATAATTGGGCACTGATGGAAGAGTGGCAAAAGTTTCTATTGTTGTCGCGTTGCCTAACAAGTCATGACCTGTTCATCTTCTTTTTTAACGCAATGGCAAGGACCTGTTATGTCTCAGATCCCTTGTTGTGGTGGCACTGATCCTCAAATACTCGACATTATTCATGAAGCCATAACACTCGCATCCTCACAAGGAGGTACACAGCAGTACTACTAACTACTGAACTACGTAGCTAACTGAAGTTAAGCAGAAGAGAGGATACTAACTGTAAGCTAATTGAAGCAGAACATACATTTCTTTGGATTGAGCCTGGTCAGCCATGTAGAGCAGAGACCATGTCGGGTTCTCTCGAATGGAGTAAGCCATGCTACAATGATAACAATCAACTGGATTTGATTTGGATGTGCCAATGGGGATGATGAGATGGAAAAGGATCTTTTCTTCAGTGGCAGGTGTTGGATGCACCAGCCATTCAAAAGGCATATGGACTCAAGGAAAATCCTTCAATACCTAAAAACACCCAAAAAAATCATGTCACTACTGAACCATGGAAAGTAACTGAAGACAAAAATTGGTATTATTATTGCCAAAATTATTGTGCATGCCAAGCGCCATCTATGAAACGAATGTTGTTAAGGAAAGCTTCAGTGTAGACTTCCTCACCTCTAGAACAACCCTACTCTCCTTCTGATTGTACTGGTAAAGATGTTCTCTTCCTTTCAGGAGAAGCAAAATAATGAAGCTTCTCCTTTTCACGTTCACCTGTTGCCAAAAAAAACTCATGACTTACCAAAGGGCATTGGAGTTATGTGAGCAGTGGCTGTTTGTATGACATATTAGATGTCACATCAAAAGAATAGAAAAGAGGTTATAGGATGAATTCAAAATATTGATTCTTGCCTCAAAGAAATATCGTAGAGGTAAAGCTGACACAACATCCATTGTCAAAGCAACAGAGGTCCTTAGTTTGATGCAATCCATCTGGCTATTCACAACTGAACCCATGGAAACTCCATCCCCATTTCTCACTCCAATCTGAGCAAACAAAAGGACGTGCTTTCTCATTAGGGAACTAGATTGTTTTTTTAGATAAAAGTTAGCTAGGTAGATGATGACACATGATGAGAAGATAAGAAAACTGCACATCTAATTACCTCCCTTCAAACTTATAAACTCAACATTTCATGAAAGAAATGTGTAATTATCTAAACCATCTGATAAATGGTTTGTATGTTAACTTTGGCAGCAGCAGCAACAACAACAACAAAACCTTTTAGTCCCAAGCAAGTTGAGGTAGGCTAGAGTTGAAACCCAACATGAGCCCCTAGTCTGTATGTTAACTTTGGCAAGAATAAATATTTCTTGAGCAAGCAATAAGGTATTCACTAATAATCACACACAAATGCAATTTGATTCCAAGAAACAAGACATGTTCCTAATCTTGTTTCTTCTTCTCCACTAATGGTGTAGTGGTCAAATATAAAAATTGATAATTAAACAGATAAGTAGGCACACGAGCACTTAGTATAATCAACTGAGTTGACAAGATCCGCATCCTTAGTGAGTACCATTAGCTTCAAGGTTCTGTTTATTTGCTCAAACTGTTACTGATTGATGATAATTGAGGAGTTCACAACTCCATAACCTTCTGCAGCATTTGTCATGGTTCTTTAGTATCATTCATCCACTACGGAGATGGCTTCTTTGCCGAGTGTCCCAGACTTTGCCGATTGCTTTTTATCGGGCACTCGGCAAAGAGGCTGCCTGCCGAGTGCCAGAGAGAAAGTACTCGGCAAAGAACTGGCACTCGGCAAAGAGGTGGTTTGCCGAGTGCCGAGCACTCGGCAAACTGGTCTTTGCCGAGTGTTATTCTCCTGACACTCGGCAAAGGGCCGCCACCATTAACGACCGGCAGCCGCCGTTAACCCTTGCCGTTAACCCTTTTGAGTGTCTTCTGTCTTTTTGACACTCGGCAAAGCGGTGATTTCTTTTGGAGTGTCATTTTTGAGACTCGGCAAAACATATTTTTTTTGGCACTTTTGGCCTCAAACTTTTTTCATTTAATCCTCATATAATACACGATACTCTATATTCATTCAATGTGACACATTTGAATGGACTTTTCTATATTTCTTTAATTTATTTCATTTAATTGAATTTTCTTGGATAATTCAAATTATAACGAACGCTAGTCATTGTTTTTAAATAATAAAAAAAAAAATAAATGGAAAAATGATATTCAAGTTATTTATGTATATATGACGTGGAGGCCGTGATAAAAATTTAAGGGGTTTCGCGAACATCTTGTTTCGAAACATGATGCTTGCAAACCGAAGAATCTCCGAAGAAGTTTCATAATTTCGTGAAGAGGCCGACGAGGTGGTAAGCATTGTACGTGACAACTTGTGCGAAACCTTCTCAAATTTTTATCACAGCCTCCACATATGATATCATGACATCTTAACAAGTTTCATGATTTTCGGACTTCGTTTGCTTTTTATAGAATTTAAAAACAACTCGACCGCAAGTTCATGGTCTTGTTTCGTGAACAAGATATTCGAAATTGGTGGTCTGTTCTGATATGGCCTCACATTATACTAAATAACATGAATATCATTTTTCCATTCATTTTTTTCATTATTCGAATGAATGACTAGCGGTTATAATTTGAATTATCCAAGAAAATTCAATTAAATAAAATAAAATAAAGAAATATAGAAAAAGTCCTAGAAATGTGCCACATTGGAACATGGAGTACAGGTATTGTATGAGGACTGCAGAAAAAGTTTGGAGGTCAAAAGTGAAAAAAAATATGTTTTGCCGAGTGTCAAAAAATGACACTCGACAAAGGAGCCTCATTTGCCGAGTGTTAGGACGTATGGCACTCGGCAAAGATTTTTTAAAAAAAATTAAAAAAACACCTCTTTGCCGAGTGCCAGACCAGGTGGCACTCGGCAAAGAATAAAAAAATAAAAAAAAACTTTGCCGAGTGCCAGATCGGGGCACTCGGCAAAGGGGGGATTTAACTTCTGGCCCGGCCAGTCCACCACACACACACACGCGCCCGCGCCCGCCATGGGCGGAGGAGGAGAGGAGAGAGGAGGAGGAGGCGCCTTCCCCTTCCATGCGCCATGCCGCCGCCGCCATCGTATTTGCATTGAGGTTATCATCCGATCCAGTGCTTAATTAACTTGCAGTGAAATTTAAAATTAAAGCAGGCGATTACTATTAACCGGTGCAATGGCTAAAAAAATAAGTAAATCTAGCTGGAGCAGATATAATGGCGGAGATACATATATAGCATATATGTGTCATTGATCAGGATGATCTTACTGTGGTGCATCACTTGTTGGATGATGCTCCAAGATTATCTATTTTGAGGAGATGTACCTATTCCATGTAATTGTGTTGTTGAGATGGGTGTAAATGCATGTGTAACTTAATTGGTAATTTTGCATGCTGAGGAAACAAGCTTTCATTGATCTGAGGCATGTATATTTGTATCATCGAGGAACATGTTAATGGAACTATCTGATATACCTTTGTATTGTACTGATGATTAATTCTTTTTGGTTTATCTGTACAATGTATTTCCATGTAAATGACATTCTCACAACTATGTAATCTTGACATTAAGGAACAACCTAGCTCAGCATACATATATGCATGCATTAAGTTAGATATATTATACAGATTTGCTTGTACAAAACTCTAGGGCATCAATGCTGCCTTCATAAATTTGATAATATGTACAAGCACCAGATAGCATGCTGCTAAAATAATTAGTACACACGGTACATATGCATGAACTGGAGAAAAACAATTTTGCACTAGAGCAGCCTATCAGGTGGGCCTATAATAGATATGATGGTTCTATAGAATTTAAAGAGGAAAAGACAGAAGAAAGGGAGAAAGAAAGAGAGGGAAAAAACTAAAGTGAGAGAGTGTGTACTCATACTGCAAGCAACCAAGATGCGTATTTCAAATGCATTTCTTTACAAGAGAACTGTAGAGGAACTGCACATCATATTGAGCTGAATGTGTATTTTGGATTCATTTTAGGAAAACAACAGAACGAACTAGATAGAAACTGAGGTACCTCGTATAATAAGAACATATAGTGTTGAAAATGTGCTTAGGCACGGTCGCAAAAAAAAAAGCATATAGTGTTGGGTCCTGTGATCAAGAATGTGTAGTTAGATCCCAAATTTGAACATTGTGCAGATTTTCTCATGACTATTCTCAAATTCGTTCTATATATATTATCTCCTTGCGAAACTTCTAATAATTTTGTTGATAACTTCGCTTTGCTCCCGAGAAAGATGGTTGGCGGTGGGATGAGTCAGCGGGCGTCCTTGTACCGAAGGACAAGTACCACTGCACCGGGGGAGAGTAGGAGGAGGAGCAGCCATAGGAGGGAGCCATCGCCTACCGCCCCGTCGCGTGAGGAGGAGGAGGAGCAGGTGCCCCAGGAGGACGCCGAGGAGGCGCAGGAGGACGCGCAGGAGGACGACGAGGAGGAGGCGACAGCAGGGGGTTCCGCTTCCTCTAGTTCGTCGAGCGTCTACTTGCGAGGTCCCACGAGCCTGCCTCAGCGACCGATACCTCGTGAGAGACACCCGCTGATTCAACCCGAGGGGGAAAAGTAACTTTAGATGTTATCACTACTTTATATGATATGTTGAAAATCAATATAGAAACTAATAATTTTTCTTAATCACTTGGGTAGGAACTGGACGATTGTGGCGAGTGGAGGTGCTCACACACGCCAAGTCAATGGCATCCTCGGTCTTCTGTGCAAGGAGCACTTCCCTGGCCGGATTGAGTACGCCGGAGTGACGGGGCCGGCCTACTCGTTTGACCACTACGCCGCCACCCCCGATGCTGCAGATCGGGCCCGCAGGGTATTCAACAACAAGGCGGAGCGGGTGAAGCAAGAGCTATGGGTAAGTCTTCCTCGCACTACATTGCTCAATACATCACATTCATTGGACATTCTTGAAATAATGAATGGATACATCATGTTTGTATGCAGGATTTCTTTAGATGCCAGGACGAACATGAGGCTAGGGCGGATGCGGTGGCTACCAAATGCTGCAAAAAACTCATCGTGGACATGCATTACGAGGCGCGCATCCAGGCCGTCGTAACTTACCATGGGACCGTCCTTGAAACGAAGGTCACCAAAAGGGACGCAAGGAGCATGACACTGACCCGGGACCAGTACCTACAGGTAAAAACAGAACATTAATACTGATTCCTTTTGAGATTAAGTAGGCTTAATTTCATCTTCTGATATGTCATGTACTTGATGGCCTGTAGATGATTCCTTATTGGTGTGCCGCGCATCCCTAGTCTTTGAGAAGCAGATGGTGGACAAGTGGTGCTCACGCGAGTGGGAGGAGATGCACAACTTGTGCGGGGAGCGGTGTTTGATGATGCCAAGTGTAGCACACCATCAAGGCAGCCATGATTTTTTAGCGGATCTGTGAGAAACATGGGTACGCTGAATTCATTTATTTATTCTAACGCTCAATTATGTATGATTTCTAATCATCTTGCTGTTTTTCTCGCAGTCGGCGTCACATGGTGGCCAGCCTTGCTCCATCTTCAAGGCATTTGCTATGGCCCACAAGGGCAAGGCGACGTCCGACGTCGACTACAACCCGGAGGATAGGCTCGAGGCATACAACAATGCGACCGTCCACAACCACCTCAGTGAGTACACATCGATGGCAAGGGAGGTCCATGGGCCACAGTACGATCCGAGCACCGAGGACCTTGATGGAGAAGTCGTCATGAGGGTGGGAGGAGGCAAGAAGCATGGGCGGTACTAGATTGGCGATGGCGCAATCGACTCGGCCGCTACTCCTAGTCTCTCCCAGATTCGAGCAAGCAGCACGAGCAGGAGCCCAGCTATACAACCTCGGCAGGACACTTCACACCACCGGGTGGTGGCACTCGAGGTTATTCCTGGTTTATTCATCGTTCATTGGTTTTTTTCATACCTTTCCTTTGCATTATTGTAACATTGGGGTGAATGTATTGTAGGCCTAGCTGGAACAAGAGAGGAGGATACAGGAGCAGATGCAGGTGAAGATGGAGAGGGTGGAGGCCGAGCAGCGTAGGATGGCGGAGATTCTTCAGTACATGCAAAGTCTTGGCGCCGCTACGGGTGTAGTTCCGCCACCTTCGCTATTCGCTCCACCTCCACCTCCTTAGTATTCTACTCCTGTGAGTATAAATGTTTTAGTTTGTATGTTCATGCTTATGGTCAAACCTAGTGGTGTATGAAAGTTTTATTCATGTATGGTATATATTTATCTTGTCTCACACATGCAATCTCTTCTCCTTTGTGCAGAATCAATCGGCGGCATCGAACGATCCTCATGCTTCAGCGAATCCTTCACCAAATCAGTGATGATACTTGTGGTTGTTAATTGTACTTATATTTGCAATTATGGTTGAAGACGATGGAGCACTTGGATTACTTGTGAACTTATTTGTGATATATTGTGAGACATGTGACGTTTGTGATATATATGTGACGTTTGTGATATATATGTGGTGTTGGTGATATATATGTGTTGTTGATGATATATATGTGATGTTGGTGATGTTTATTATATATATCTTCTGTTTGTTTGGATGGGATGTAAAAAACAAATAAAAAAGGTTGTTTTCAGACACTTTGCCGAGTGCAATGGCCATGACACTCAGCAAAGTGACTACCTGGGAACATGCTTTGCCGAGTGCAAAGGCCATTGCACTCGGCAAACATCACAGATTTGCCGAGTGCCACAGTCTAGGCACTCGACAAACATCACATGCTTTGCCGAGTGTCTTGACGGCGACACTCGGCACAGTGCCACCTTTGCCGAGTGTCTAAGTCAACGGCGCTCGGCAAAGCGGGGACCTTTGCCGAGTGCTTGACCTTGACACTCGGCAAAGCCGCCGTCATGGTGGCACTGGCCGTCACAGCTGAAAGGATCAAGATGCCCAAGAGGGGGGGTGAATTGGGCTAATTAAAAATTTCTTTGCAATAATTAAGTCCTATTGTTAGCCCAATTAACCCCTTGTGCCTAGAAAATGTTCCTAGTTATTCTACCGCACAAAAGACTTGCAACCTAAGTTCCACTCCTACTCTAGCATGGCAATTCTATGAATGTAAGAACAAGAATTGAATTGCTCAAAGTAAATAGAGAGGAGGAAGAACGTGGCGATGTTTTGCCGAGGTATCGGAGAGTCGCCACTCCCCACTAGTCCTCGTTGGAGCACCCGCGCACGGGTGTTGCTCCCCCTTGATCCGCGCAAGGATCAAGTGCTCTCTACGGGTTGATTCTTAGACACTCCATCACGGTGAATCACCCACAACCACTCACAATGTGAGTTGGGTCATCCACAAGCTCTCCGGATGATCACCAAGCTCCAAATCACCACCAAGCCATCTAGGTGATGGCGATCACCAGGAGTAACAAGCACGAACTCTCACTTGACCACGACAAGCCTAGGGAGAAAGGTGGATGCACACTTTGCTACTCTTGATCTTACTAATGAGGGCTCTCTTTGGGATTCTCAAATCTCAATCACCTCACTAAGACCTTGCTCTTCTTGGCACTCTCTAAGGTGTGCTTCAGCTGTTGGAATGAGCAAAAGTAACCCCAGACACAAGTGGAACTTCTATTTATAACATGGGCTGAAAAACGAACCGTTATGTGCCTCTACGGGGTGACAGGATGCTCCGGTCATGTTGACAGGACGCTCCAGTCAGTTCTCCCTGAGTTCCAGTGTTTACAGTGTGACCGGACACGTCCGGTCATGATTTTCCCTCTCTGGAACCTTACTGTAAACGACCGACGCTGGCTCTCAACGTCCGGTCACTTGACCTTCCAGCATCCGGTCGCACCGAACGTAATCTCCTCGATCAAATGAACTGACCGGACTCTGCGCCAGCGTCCGGTCGCACCGAAGCCAGCGTCCGGTCAATATTTGACCCTCCATTCACTTCCAACTCTCGATCATATGTGAATGAAGTTTGCTCCATTGGATCTTAGGCATATTTAGGAGCTACCTAGCGCTAGTTTTAACAAGTGTGCACCACACCTAACTCACTAGACTCACCTAGGTCAAGCT